GACCCCAGGATCAATTCTAATATCATGACTGCATTTGTCTCTTTTTGCCCAGCATTTGTATATATAGTTTTTGGGTGGGGATCTCAACCCTTTCAAAGTTATGACCCAGGGGTTAAGTCTGCAAGGGTGGGGCAGACCCTGGGGTCAATTCTAATATCATGACTGCATTCGTCTCTTTATACCATGCAACAATTGTATATATAGTTTTGGGGTGGGGATCTTAACCATTTCGAAGTTATGACCCAGGGGTTAAGTATCCAAGGGTGGGGTAGTCCCCAAGGCCATCCTGGAAGCATATGTGCATTCATCTCTTTATACTCAGCAATTGTATATATGGTTATAGGGTGGGGATCTCAACCATTTCCAAGTAATAAACTTTTTTGGCCCAACCCCTTAGCCAGGGGGTCAGCCCCACCATTTGTACAATTTTGAATCCCTGCCTCCCATGAATGCTTCCGACCAAATATGATCGATATCCATGGGATAGTCCAACAGAAGAAGACGTTTATAGCAATATAGCCAAATTGCCCTGTTTTGGCCCCGCCGTCAGCCCAGCCATTTGTACAATTTTAAATCTCCCCCACCTAGGGATGCTTCCAGTCAAATATGGTTGATATCTATCTCTTAGTTCCAGAGAAGAAGTCGCTTAAAGCAATATAGCCAAATAAACCTTTTTTGCCCTGCCCCTCAGCCCCCTGGGGGGTCAGCCCCACCATTTGTACAATTTTGAATCCCTGCCTCCCATGCATGCTTTTGATTAAATATGATTGATATCCAGTGCATAGTTCTACAGAAGAAGTCGTTTGTAGCAATATAGCCAAATTGCCCCCTTTTGGCCCCACCCCTCAGCCTCCTTGGGGGTCAGCCCCACCATTTGTACAATTTTGAATCCCCACCACCTAGGGATGCTTCTGTCAAATTTAGTTAAATTCCAATCAGTGGTTAAGAAGAAGAAGTCATTTAAAGAAATTGCTGTTGGACGGACGACGGACGCCACAGTATGGCATAAGCTCACCTTGGTCCTTCGGACCAGGTGAGCTAAAAATTTGGAAAGCAATCGAGCAGTTTGAACACAGCAGATTCATTAAATATGCAGGGAATATGCTGAACATCAAACTCCAGTGTATATTAGTGTAACAAGTTTGATCAAATTTAGGCGATTCCTTCAGAAGATATCATGCAGACAGAAATCAGCCAATCAGAAAACAGCAGCCTAATAAATATGCACAGAAATTGCCTGAAAGAGGGACTTGGGTAAGTAGTACATCATTTAACATAAGAGAGGGACTAGGGTAAGTAGTACATCATTTAACCTAAGAGAGGGACTTGGGTAAGTAGTACCTCATTTAACATGAGAGAGGGTCTTAGGTAAGTAGTACATCATTTACCATAAGAGAGGGACTTGGGTAGGTAGTACATCATTTAACATGAGAGATGGACTTGGGTAAGTAGTACCTCATTTAACATGAGAGAGGGACTTGAGTAAGTAGTACATCATTTAACCTAAGAGAGGGACTTGGGTAAGTAGTACATCATTTAACATGAGAGAGGGACTTGGGTAAGAAGTACATTATTTAACATGAGAGAGGGACTTGGGTATGAAGTACATCATTTAACATGAGAGAGGGACTTGGGTAAGTGGTACATCATTTAACATGAGAGAGGGACTTAGGTAAGTAGTACATCATTCAACATGAGAGAGGGACTTGGGTAAGAAGTACATTATTTAACATGAGAGAGGGACTTGGGTATGAAGTACATCATTTAACATGAGAGAGGGACTTAGGTAAGGAGTACATCATTTAACATGAGAGAGGGACTTGGGCAAGAAGTACATCATTTAACATGAGAGAGGGACTTAGGTAAGAAGTACATCATTTAACATGAGAGAGGGACTTGGGCAAGAAGTACATCATTTAACATGAGAGAGGGACTTGGGCAAGAAGTACATCATTTAACATGAGAGAGGGACTTGGGCAAGAAGTACATCATTTAACATGAGAGAGGGACTTAGGTAAGGAGTACATCATTTAACATGAGAGAGGGACTTGGGCAAGAAGTACATCATTTAACATGAGAGAGGGACTTGGGTAAGCAGTACATCATTTAACATGAGAGAGGGACTTGGGTATGAAGTACATCATTTAACATGAGAGGGGGACTTGGGTAAGTGGTACATCATTTAACATGAGAGAGGGTCTTAGGTAAGTAGTACATCATTTAACATGAGAGAGGGACTTTAGTAAGTGGTACATCATTTAACATGAGAGAGGGACTTAGGTAAGGAGTACATCATTTAACATGAGAGAGGGACTTGGGCAAGAAGTACATCATTTAACATGAGAGAGGGACTTAGGTAAGAAGTACATCATTTAACATGAGAGAGGGACTTGGGGAAGTGGTACATCATTTAACATGAGAGAGGGACTTGGGTAAGAACTACATCATTTAACATGAGAGAGGGACTTGGGTAAGAAGTACATCATTTAACATAAGAGAGGGACTTGGGTAAGTAGTACATCATTTAACATGAGAGAGGGACTTTGGTAAGTGGTACATCATTTAACATGAGAGAGGGACTTGGGTAAGTAGTACATCAGCAAAGTTTGATCAACATCTGACCCTTCTTTAATAAGATATCACACTGTAAGCAGGAAATGGACAGACAGACAGATGGACAACCTCATAACTTGATGCGGAGCCCTAATTAAAGGTATTGGGGTATAGTCTTCAGCAGAAATAATTTGTAAATCTTCACATTTGCATTCTAGAGAAGCATAGAAATCAAATACATGAACCAAGTAAATTACGACCAGCCTCAGACTAACACATTACAACCTGCCAGGTAATTGAAATATGAAAGTTGTAAAACATAAGAACTTGTAAACTTGTGAAAATGTATATTAAGACATCTTATCTGTTGAATTTATTTGTTATATGCAAATATTTTGTTATAAGTGTCTAGACCAAGTGAAACACTATAACCTAACACGGTGTTTCATACCTGTCTGCAGAAAAGTAGTATTATGCAAATGTTCTGTAGAATTTCTGAAAAATTAGTCGGTAAAATGTGATTTATACTTAACCAACCATTTTCACTAGCCATAATCAATTCCTAGAAGTTAACCTAATATTTATAGGAGACAGAGATTGGTATATTCTACAGGTATGTCCAGTACAGTGTACAGGTATATCTTTGTTAGCCCAAAACAACTACCCACACTATGCCTAGCAGCCATAATATATGAGCAATACCTGCTGCCAAAAACGCATGTTGATTTTTTGCCTCTGTAACCAAAAGAAAATTATATACAATCATGCACTACAAAATAGACAGTTCAAAGGTCATGCTTTTAAGGGTACTCATATCTAGAGTTATCTACCCTTGAATTTGTGCAAACAAAATTAATCCCTCTTTAACCCTTTCCGACATTTTTTTTAAAGAAATTACAGAAATATTAATTACTTTTTAGCACAATATGTAGATTTTTACTATCTGCAAGTGACAACAGAAACATCAACTGTTGTATAATATTGACTGGCTTGATGGCTAAGAGAGTGGAGTTCAGAATATGGAGGCAGATTCCATTGCCATCTTTTACACAGATACAATACCCCCAACCCTTCCCCCCACTAATAATGGCCTTTGACCTTTGAACCTCGACTGATGACCACCAATGTTTAAACATCTTATCGCGTGTAAAACCCCATGTTACCATACTATAGTGTTAATATCAAGTAATTTGTTCAGCGGTTCATGAGATATCTTGTACCACAAGTTCTTTACTTCGAAAGTGGTCAAGTGTGATATTTACCCTGAACCTTTGACCCTTTAACTTAAACGATGACCACCAAAATCCAGTTAAAATTTAAAATATCATTATCAGTCCTTTTCTTGGTTCCCAACAGACCATTACATGACATCATATAGAATAGTAATTATTCTTTGTTTTCTAGTCTGTTTATCCCTTTTGTTTCCCATCAATTTAGTCAAGGAGTATTGAAAATAAGAACAATTCTGAAGCAAAATGTTTTACATTACCATGAAAGTTTACTTGTAACAATACATGGGATATTACAAGTTCTACTGAAGAAATGAGCACCCTTAAATCAATAAATACACAACAAATATTTATAGACGAAACACAGATTCATTTTAACAAGTCACCAACATTTCCATTTAAATGTTAAGAATCAGGGAAATAATTAGTTTCCTGTTTTATTAACAATTTGTTTAGCTCATTAATTATTCGTCCAGTGACCAATGTAAATAGAATGTGCCATGATAATATATTATGGATCATTATTAGCATGTCAATGCTTATCTGTTTAGGACCTAATTTCTTGAAATAAACTTAAGTTCTGACTAATGAATCTCAAAAGTTAATCTTTTCCATAGAAAGGTTATTTATTTCTTAATTCATTTCAAATTTGAAGTATACATGTACAAATATAGGTTATTGTTCAAACTTAAATTCTGTACTCAAGCTCCAATCATAATAAACAGAGAAAGTAAACTTCAGGAATTCATACAAGACTAGTGGTTGTCACATACCATTTCTGTGTTTTGTATTAGGAGACTAAACCAATTGATGGGAAAAGACATTACTTTATAATACATTGGTTGAATAAATGTTGACTATTGACAGCATGCTGTATACATCAGTTTCATATTTTACAAAAAAAAAGCTGGTCAATAACATAAAGAAAGAAAACAAGCAGAAAACTATCATCAATTAAAGAACAAACACAGAATATATTATTGGTACATGTAAATGTCGATGGGCATTTTTTCCCCCAAGAAATCAAGTCTTTTTCTACTGATTACTTATCAATTGTACTTAATATAGTAATTTTATAAACAAACCGAAACTAAATTTATGATTATTAATTATCTGGGATAAATTATTAATTATCTGGGTATTAAGAATATTAAAATAAAAAAGTTATGATGTATTAATCACTAAACAAAACCTAATGGTCATGTAAATAGGTGATGCTCTGTAAATTAGATCTGATTAGTCCAATATTTACATGCAAGTACGTGATGCTCTATAAATGAGATCTGATTAGTCCAATATTTACATGTAAGTAGGTGATGCTCTATAAATGAGATCTGATAAGTCTAATATTTACATGTAAGTAGTAGTCCCCAATTGTTAGCAAGCAGAGCAATGGCAAATACAATCTATGTGTGTTAGCATGGTACATAACCCAACGACCAGCTACTCCCTCTCTGTGACCCAGCCTGTGGACTTATTGTGTTAGCATGGTACATAACCCGACGACGAGCTACTCCCTCTCTGTGACCCGGCCTGTGGACTTATTGTGTTAGCATGGTACCCGACAACCAGCTACTCTCTTTCTATGACCCGGCCTGTGGACTTATTGTGTTAGCATGGTACCTGACAACCAGCTACTCTCTCTCTGTGACCCGGCCTGTGGACTTATTGTGTTAGGCATGGTACCCGACGACCAGCTACTCCCTCTCTGTGACCCGGCCTGCAGACTTATTGTGTTAGCATGATACCAGACGACCAGCTACTCCTTCTCTGTGACCCGGCCTGTGGACTTATTGTGCTAGCCAGGCCTACAGTCCCTCTTTGTTTTTCTTGCCCAGCTCTGACCCAGTAGTGTTATTATTATAATGGTGCTGACACCATGGACACCAGGTCATAGAGTAAGAAAATGTTGTCATAAGTATCCCTCCCTCCACTGGATATATAGACAAGTCATGAGGAGATGCCCAGTTACAATGTAGAATACTGAAATACAGTTATAGATGGTACAAGGTGCACTGAAGTATAAAATGAAGGTAAAATTCAATATCCCCAACATGAGTTCAGTAGCGTGACCCTAACCGCATCATTGATTCAAGTATCATATCTATGTACAGGTATGTACAATGACACAAGCCCAATGCCCACGGCTAGTAGATTTTACATCAGGCTTGTGAAACTTTGTAGTATTTCCTCTGAAAGTATAGGTAGTGCTTGTATTCTGTCAAAATCTGCCCACAGGATAGTACTGATGTCGAACTTACAGGACTTGACATTTTTCTTTGTGATATATGAATGGATACTAGCATAGTAAACTGAAGGTCAAATTCAGCATCTGCAACATACCTTCAATAGATCAACCCTAGCTGCATTATTGATGTAGCAATTACCATTACTCGTATACGCCCTGATTCTACATCTCCACCACCAAAGTATACGCCCTCATTCTACATCCCCACCAACAAAGTATACGCCCTGATTCTACATACCCACCAACAAAGTATACGCCCTGATTCTACATACCCACCAACAAAGTATACGCCCTGATTCTACATACCCACCAACAAAGTATACGCCCTGATTCTACATACCCACCAACAAAGTATACGCCCTGATTCTACATACCCACCAACAAAGTATACGCCCTGATTCTACATCTCCTCCACCAAAGTATACGCCCTGATTCTACATCCCCAGTAACAAAGTATACGCCCTGATTCTACATCTCCACCGCCAAAGTATACGCCCTGAGTCTACATCCCCACCAACAAAGTATACGCCCTGCTTCTACATCCCCACTAACAAAGTATACGCCCTTATTCTACATCTCCACCACCAAAGTATACGCCCTCATTCTACATCCCCACTAACAAAGTATACGCCCTGGTTCTACATCCCCACTAACAAAGTATACGCCCTTATTCTACATCTCCACCACCAAAGTATACGCCCTGATTCAACATCCCCACCAACAAAGTATACGCCCTGATTCTACATACCCACCAACAAAGTATACGCCCTGATTCTACATCTCCTCCACCAAAGTATACGCCCTGATTCTACATCTCCACTAACAAAGTATACGCCCTGATTCTAAATCCCCACCAACAAAGTATACGCCCTGATTCTACATACCCACCAACAAAGTATACGCCCTGATTCTACATACCCACCAACAAAGTATACGCCCTGATTCTACATCTCCTCCACCAAAGTATACGCCCTGATTCTACATCCCCACTACCAAAGTATACGCCCTGATTCTACATCCCCAGTAACAAAGTATACGCCCTGATTCTACATCTCCTCCACCAAAGTATACGCCCTGATTCTACATCTCCACTAACAAAGTATACGCCCTGATTCTACATCTCCACTAACAAAGTATACGCCCTGATTCTACACCCCCCCCAACAAAGTATACACCCTGATTCTACATCCCCACTAACAAAGTATGCGCCCTGATTCTACATCCCCACTAACAAAGTATGCGCCCTGATTCTACATCCCCACTAACAAAGTATTCGCCCTGATTCTACATACCCACCAACAAAGTATACGCCCTGATTCTACATCTCCTCCACCAAAGTATACGCCCTGATTCTACATCTCCACTAACAAAGTATACGCCCTGATTCTACATCACCACTAACAAAGTATACGCCCTGATTCTACACCCCCCCCAACAAAGTATACACCCTGATTCTACATCCCCACTAACAAAGTATACTCCCTGATTCTACATCCCCACTAACAAAGTATTCGCCCTGATTCTACATACCCACCAACAAAGTATACGCCCTGATTCTACATCTCCACTAACAAAGTATACGCCCTGATTCTACATCGCCACTAACAAAGTATACGCCCTGATTCTACATCGCCACTAACAAAGTATACGCCCTGATTCTACAACCCCCCCAACAAAGTATACGCCCTGATTCTACATCCCCACGAACAAAGTATACGCCCTGATTCTACATCCCCACCACCAAAGTATACGCCCTGATTCTACATCCCCAGTAACAAAGTATACGCCCTGATTCTACATCTCCACCGCCAAAGTATACGCCCTGAGTCTACATCCCCACCAACAAAGTATACGCCCTGATTCTACATCCCCACTAACAAAGTATTCGCCCTGATTCTACATCCCCACTAACAAAGGGACCATGGACTTAAACAGACACTATATATTGTACCAGAAAATGGAGATCAACTTGTGTTTTCAGATATTTAACACACTTTGTGTTTTTCAGTTTTTTGAAAGTCAGGATTTGAATATATCAAGTAAGATCTCCAATTCTTGATGTACAAATTGACACGAATGACATAAAACCCAGGACCAGCCATTTTGTTCAAAGCTTGAGAGAAGATGTAAGCCTCGTTTTCTAAAATACAAGAGGCCCAGAGGGCCTGTATCGCTCACCTGGATATCTAAGCAATCATGGCAAAATATTCTCCAAATGAGATCCAAGGGAATATGCCAGACCCCAAGGCCAATCCTTGTAGCATATCTGTATTTGATTTTTTATGCCCAGCAATTTTGTGTATGGTTATGGGGTGGGGATCTCAACTGTTTCCAAGCTGTGACTCAGAAACTAGGTCCCTAGGGTTGTGGCCAGACCCCAGGATCAATTCTAATATCATGACTGCATTTGTCTCTTTTTGCCCAGC